ATCTGTCCCTACTTCTTTATATTTATGAATGCTGTTATGACAAGTGCCTTCATATACAGTGTTATTAAACACATAAATTATTTGGTTTTATATAAATCTGGTGCCTTCAGGGCCACTGAAGAATATTGGGCTTGTTGGCATCACACTAAAAGGTATACTGAATTATGCTTTTGATTCTCAAGATCTTTGAAGTTTTTCTCTTTTTGTTTGAGTCAGATTGTCTGCTGTTTAAATCAACTTTAACTTTCTAATCATCACTGAACCAGGAAAGCAGGTGCCTGAGTGTGTCACACTCCATTGTAGAGAGTAATAGCTGCAGAGTGAACCCCCAGAAGGGAAAATCACATATTTTTTTTTCACATGACATTATTTGTCTGACTCAAGTAATCTTTAAAAAGCTAACTTCAGATCACTTAGCTGAAGTTCTTGTTGTCTACCTACAGTAAAGAATAATCCTAAAAGTAATAGGAAGGGGTTTTCGGATGAGGCAGTTCCCTGCAACCAGTCACCACTACACCAATGGGGTTTGCGGTTCCTGAGTGATAGAATTTGAGAAGCAGTGTGAGTTCAGGAAGGAGGGAGGGTTAGGCTTGAGGGATTCGAGAAAATGCCATGATCTGCTGGGTTTCACTCCAGCTCGGTTTTCTGCCCTCGTCCCCATGGCTGCCACCTACTTTAACATGTGGATGGACAGCCATTCCGCTAAGGGCTTCTCAGTGTGAATTCTGGGGTATACAGATTCTCTCTACTAATGGGTGTGGAAGGTATAATGAGAGTTAGGGATAGAGTCCCATCTGAGATTCCTGGTGACCTCCTTTCCTAAAAACCCAACAGAACCATGTGTCTTTTAAAGACAGTAGTAGCCTTTTGTGTGGCATGCCGTTACAGAAAATCAGGGTCCATAAGATAGGAGGACCTGGATGGTAAGTGGAAGGAACATTCTGAAGATGACAAAAGTAAATGGGGTTTGTGATTTTGAGGGGCATAGTTTAGATGGAGCATTAGATGTTGAACACTGCATCAACTCCTTTGGCTCACAGTTCTATGGGGATACAGTCCACTGTGGTGGAGAAGCAGCAAGCAAGGATGGCATGGTGACAGACAGGGAAAGCATAGTTGCAGGGGTAGGAGGCTGGCTAGCTCCACCTCCTATTGGTTATGCTGTCTTCCGAAACAGTGCCACCAGCTAGGGACCAAGTGTTCAAACATGTGAGCCTATGGAAAACGGGCTCCATCCAAACCACAAGAGGTGTGATTTGAGTAGATGGTTAGTAAAAGAAGGCTTGGTTGTTGGCATGATATGGGTAAAAGCCCAGAAGATGTAATGTTTGTTATGCTCAGGATTATGTTCCTGAGCAAATATGTGTAGATATATACATATATAGGAAACACACACACACACACACACACACACACACACACACACACGTGCTTAAAAGTCTCCAAATGCAAGGACAGCATGTAATTGGAACCATTGACCTCATTTGCTTTTGATCAGTGAGATAACAAAGGATGCTCTAATTTGTTAATGTGGCTAAGTTCAGTTGAACACCCATGATGAATTTTAAAGTCTACTTTCTTTGTAGTCCCTAATAAGAGTGGTTGGGAATTTTTAATCTTCATTAGTTCTCTACGAAGCCACCTTCAAACAGAGGAAAAATTAAAGCTCCCTACAGGAGAGGAGAGTACATATGCATTAAAAATAAATCCCTGTAGCTTCAAATGTCCAGATACAGCAGGGCTGTGACACATGACGGAATCAATACGTTTGAGTCCCAGTGGGCGATCTGAAGACTCCCTTTGTTCTTCCTTCCTGTTTGCGAACTTGTGACTGGGATTAAATAGTTTGTCAGCAGTGCTGAGGATGAGGAGAGGGCTGGCCTGCCAGCACAGGCCATAGCTCTTTTGGAAAGGCTGCATTCCTTCTGGGATTGCTAGCTGCCTGTATGGTATAGTTTTTCTGCTGGAAAAAAAAAAAAACAAACAGAAGCAAAACAACAACACACTATAAACTGGGGCTCATAGAATGGTAGGTGAAAATGCAGATTTTGACATCTCAGACAGAAAAAACTTTTTAACGAATTGCCACAGGAACAAATGGACTAGCACAGGTTGTAATAATTTTACAGGTAAGAGAATTCCACTTTTAGAATATAGTTTTTATGTGGAGGCTGGGTGCTATCAGAATCGTTTGGAAATGAGATGGAAGACCTCTCGGATCTTTGGGCTGATTTCTATCTGGCCATTCTCTTCCTGTTGGCGTTCATGCCCTGACTTGACGAACTAAGCCCAAGTCTGGTTCTTCTCGCTATGCTATGCTTTCTGTCTGCTTGTTTATTCTGAGATCCACGGTCTGTTTGAGTCTTGTCCCTCAGAGGGAAAGCTCCAGCAAGTTTCACACAGACATACAGCTGTGGTCAGGCACAAACATACCCGCCCCCAACACACACCATTGCCTAAGGTAGGTGTGGTAAAAATACAGAGTATTCAGGACAGAAGCAAATAGAATGCATTTTCTTTGAATGTTTACATGCAATGGGAATGAACTATGACCTTGCAAGATCACAGGGATGGACATCGTTAGAGGAAGAATTCATTATAGTAGGTGACAGAGAGGTGGTAGTTACTGAGACACAACTGCTTCTCTTAGTCAGGGATGCTCCCAACACAACGTCAAATGAAACAACGGCTTATGTGAGTTGTCCTCTAACTTTAGCTTGCTTCAGGACTGTTGGGGCTGGGGAAGCCCAGTTTGCTGGCCTACACCTCAGAGTCTCCAGTTCGGGATGATGGGGATGGTGCTCGAGGGTTAGAGTCTCCAGTACATTCCCAGGAGCTGCTGGTGCTGTTCCAAGTGCCTGTTTTGGAACCATTGGTTCGATGACAAAATATCACTGTCCAGTGAAGAAGAAGTCTGGATTCAGGCGGCTCTCAGAGCTGGTTTATCAGCCAGGCACGGAGAGGCTCTTATTCTTTGACTTCAGCAGGTGTGAAGTGGTATGTTTTCATTTCATGCTTATGGCTGCTGTTACTCCGGATATCACAACCTCACACTGCCTTCAAAGGTGGGAAGAACTGACCAGGAAGCCAAGAATGTCGTCTGAAGGCATTTGAAACCTATAACACGCATTTCTCCAATTTGATGCAACTTGACAGGCTGAGGTCCCTACTAGCATATGTGGTAAACGTGTTCATTTATGATTCCCTGTGCTCTGTAAGGAAAAAATATGTAACTTTTGAAGTAGTTTTTTGGGTTTGCAACTTGGGGTGTCTGAGACCAGTTTGATGCGGGCTTGAGGAAACGGTGTGCGGAGGAAGAGACGGCGTGAAGATGGAAGTCCAGCTTTTAAAGGCTTCCTAGCACATGTGCAGGGGGCGGGGAGGAGACGTGCCTACGTCAGACGCTGATGACGGGCGACCCTACGCCTTGCACATGCTCACAGGGGTTTCATGTGAGCATGTCAGACTCTGATGATGCAGATGGCAGGTGACCCACGCATGCACACTCAGGGGGTTAGTTGAGTCGCGGGTGGAGGTAACCATGCATGCGGGCATGTGGGTCATACGGGTCCTTTTCCCAAGGGTCTGCCCACATGTGGCTGCCTTAGGACCCAGAAGTGCAGCCTTAAGGGTGACTAAATAATTACATTTCACCCTTTTCTTTATTATAAGAATTTGGGGGGTTTGAAGGTATGGTTAGTAGCCTATGACAGTATTGGGAGATGGCGGTGAATTTAAAAGGAACGGCCAAGGGGAAGGAAGTTAGAACATTGGGGGACACTAACAAAAACACAGTTTAGCCAGGAAAGGGCTTGTTTGGCAGTCTTGACGCAGCTAGACCCATCCCATCCTCAGTCAAGAGCAGAGAGACAAGAACTTGTGTGTCTTTAGTGCTCAGCTAGCGTTTTTCACACTTACACACCCCCTCCAAGGCCCCAAACCTGGACATGATGCCACCCACTTTTAGGCTGGTCTACCTTATCGGGTAAGGTAATTAAGACAGACAAACCCTCACAGGCATGCCCAGAGACCAGCCTGATCTAGACCCTGCCTCATTAAAATCTCTTGATGGTGATTCTAGGTGGTGTCAAGTTTACAAAGGGAACTGCCTCAGGATCTAGCCTATGTCTCGGCCCTTGCTCACTGTGACTCCTGAGCTGAGCAGCTCTGCTCAGCTCTGTGTTCCCTACCACCATGATCTGTTGTCCCAGAGACCTCAAGGCCCAGGCCTAGCAGACCAGGGCTAAAGCCTATGGAATCTCTCTATTGCTTTTTATTTTCTGTTGTTTTCTTGTGCTGTGGGCATGGAGACTGGGCCTTTGACAGGCTTGGTAAGTCCTCTGTCCCCTAGTTACCCCTCAGGCCCTTTGATTGTCCTCTAGCTTGTCTCTCTGAGGCATCCTGTCTCGGTGACAGAAAGCTGGTCACAGGAGCCTCTCAGAAGTCATATTTATGTCTCCCGCTATTGTCTGGGGCTTATAAAATATCGATACCCTTGAAGAGGATTGTCTCCCCGCTGAGCCAACGCTGTCAGTGGGGAAGTTTGGCTCTTTTTCCATACAGCCTTGAGAAAAGCGGCAAAATATTTCTTTGTCCTTATCTGTGTGGACACTGATTGCACCGGGAAAACAAGGCCCCTTTGAGGACACCTCTTGATACGGGCACTAAATTTTATCATGGCGCACATCTTAGTATCTCATGCTTTTTTAATCAGAAATAGTATTTGGCTTGTTTTTGGTTTTGCCTCTGATTGCCCTTATCAAAACGCTGTAAATATTTTTTCTTTTAATCTGATCAAAACAGACCAGGCCTGAAATCAGAAATGATTGTTGTTTCTGGGTTTTTGGAGTTCCGCCTAAAATGCTTTCATTTGAGTAAATGGCGCGGTTGGCAGAATGCTGTGGGGTGAGGAGATAAACTTGGCAGGGGAGGAAAAGAAGCAGAAGTGTTTAGACTTCATCCTGTTGTGAACAGCCACAAGGGATGGTGCCTTGAAAAACCTGATGAATTCACTGCTTCTGTTCCAAAGCTTCCAGGGTGAAGTTGCCTTTGGGGCGGGTGATCTGTTTCTGTGTTTGGGCGCCTGCCAGCTGGAGAAAGTGCTGTCTTGGCACTCTGCAGCCAGTCTGGAAGGGTAGGATCTGGGGAGCCTCCCGGGAAGGTGTTTTCTTGAATTCCTGTGCAGGCTCCAAGAACTCTGGCTGGAACTCGAGGGCATGTCGCTGCTGGTTGTGTGTTTGATTGACTGCTGGACAGGAGCCAGGTATGTTGCCTTCTTCTGAGTTTTTGGCTGTTCACATGTGGCTCTTGAGAGGTGAGTATGGCCACAAAACCTCCTGGAAGGTATTGTGATGAATCCCAAGGAAGCTTCTGTTTTCTCAGCTCCTTCCTAGTCACACAAAGGATCTACTGCTTCTCCTGTAAGAAGGGCGGCTCACCGTCAAATGGATTGGAAGTGTGGTTCCTCTCGTTTTCTTCATGTTTTTCTTTTTTATGTTCTCTCTGTCATTGAGATTTAAATTCAGAAGCAAGTTATATATTCTCTCCTGATGAAATTTGGCTTCATTAGTTCTGGTCTGCTTCAAAAACATGACTAAAAACTGGTTATAGTTGGAAATTACAAGAAAAGAGACCACCCTCTCCACTTAAGACTGGGGGAGAGCCACAGAAAGAGGAGAGGCAGGAGGAGAAGTGAGCAGAGTCTGTTAGGAAAGAAAGAGCCTATGTAGTTGTTCAGTCCAGTTCCTCCCACACTGTCCTGTGGAGTCAGATGCGCAGGGGCCTGTGGAAAAACAACCGAAAAGAAAATCTATGACAGGTGCTTGACCTTATCACAGATACAGAGTTAAGACAGAGATCACCTCAAGATGCCGGAGACTGGATCTGTATTTCCCTAAATCTGCTATAGTGAAGTCCTTGCCTCACTCTCTCAAAATGTGGTTATTTTGGAAATGAGACCCCTAAAAAGGTATGGAAGAGTTCCCACTATGGCCGCACACTCTACTGACACGTGTTCTCAGCACTGTGACCAGTCGTGAGTCTCTGCGTCAAACATGCACTACCCTGTGAAGACACTTCTCTGATAAGACTTGAACGAGTGTAGAGATTTGTACTTTGGACACACTTTGGTGCTCTGTTACATCCCTCCCCACAAGGCTCAGGAAAGGTGGTGGAAGAGGGGCCAGGAAAACTGTAAGATCCAGAGGTTTGGGAGGACCGGACATGACAGGACCACTGCACGAATTCACAGCAGCTGTGGTCGCCTGAACAAGACCTCTACAAGATCAAGCCAGTCAACATTCCAGCATGGATGAGGAGGGGCACACGAACTGGCACCTCTAGCCGAGGAGCTGTTGACAGTCATTGGCTGTCAAGGAAGGTAGGATCAGTTTTCTTTAGGGGTGTAGTCCTTGGTAGGTAGACTATGCTCCACTGGACCCCCACCCACATGAGAATATGGGCTAATTGGAAACATGAGTTGTTTAAAATAGACAATGAAGTTACAAAGGGGACACTGAGGAAGATCTGGGATGAATTACGAAGGGGAGTAGGGGACTAAATGATTGAAATACATTGTAAGCATTATAAAATCCTCAAAAAATTAAAAGACCCCCCCCCCACCAGACAGACAGACACATACACAGGCTAGGGAAAGAGTTCTTACTGCTCTTATGAATGACCCAGGTTTGATTTTTCAGCACCCACACTGGGCAGTTTATAACTCCAGCTCCAGGAGAACTTATGCCGTCTTCTGGCCTCTGTAGAACTTCCTGCACACAGCACAGATACAGAAAAGCAGGCATACATTCACATAAGTAAAAAATAAATAAATAAATGTGTGTGTATTTTAGAGGTGATTAAGCTCAAATGAGACTGTTAGGTAGACTCTAATCTAGTGTGACTGGTGTCCTTGAAAGAAGGGATCAGGACACAGATACACGAAAAGTTTTGTGGATGCAGGAGGAGACAGCCATTTGCTAGCTTAAGAGCCTGCAAAGAAACTGAACTTTGACCTGTAGGAAAACACATTTTTAAAGCTTACGACAGTCTCTGGTGGTTTATGATGACAACTGCAGCACTCACTTGGGAGGAATGTATGTTTTCAAGATGCCCCTCAGGTGATTTTTGTTGTGTGTGCATGTGCACATTATACAGTCAGTATTTTAGGGTTTGAAAAGGTAAATTTGCATTAACAAAAGCTCTGTGCATTGCTTACTTTTCTCTTGCTGTGATAAAACATCATGGACGAGACAGCTTATAGAAGAAAGTGTTTATTTGGGCTTATGGCGCCACAGGGTTAAGGGTCCACAAGGGCTGAGAGAGCATGGTGGCAGGAAGCAGAAAAGGTGGCTGGAGTTGGAAGTGAGACCTGAGGGCTCACATCTTGAACCATGAGTAGGAAGCAGAGAGAAAGTGAGTCGGAATGGCACATAGTTTGGAAACTGCAAAGCCCTCCTCGCAGTGACATACTTTCTCCAATATGGTCATACCTCCAAACAGTGCCACCAAGTACTCAAACATCTGAGCCTGCCTATGGGAAGATTCTATCCACTACATTCTGTCTTTAAATTTTCTTTCAGTAACTGATTAAACTGATCAGCCAGAGTAATAAAGTGATTGAGAAAAGTGAGGAAGTTGAAGCCCGAAAGGCTGGGCACGATCACTACAGCCTGGTGAACCATGCAGATTCACGCTGCATGAGCTTTGTTGGAATCTTGTTATCGATAAGAACCCAAAACTGAATGGCTGCAGGTCCAGGCTCAGGGAGGATGTCCTGATCTAGACTCTGTACTATCTTGACTCAGGTGTATTTTTTTTTCAGGTGCATTTTATACTGCCTTGCTTCTGCAAAGGTAACACACACTGGTGTCCTCAGAGGGAAATGTACTAGTTCATGTGACAGCACTAAGACCTGGCCCAGGACGAGACAAATGCGGAGCCCGAGGCATAAATTAGAAGGAGACAAGGTCATGCAAGTCTGGAATTTGCACTTGCACAACCAGGAGAGTTGGCTGCTCTGGGCACAGAAAAGGCAGATGTTCGCTCACTGTGAGAGCCCTTCTGTGGCTGCAGTGGCATTTGTAGAACGTTGCTACCTAGATTTCATGCCCTAATTATTACTTGTCTCGTTCTAGATGAGGCCCTGTCCCATACATACAACACCAGGAATGCACCCTCTTTCAGGACAGTGGTGCTTGTTTATTTTTGCAGATGAGGGGAGGCCACCTTGACTGTGTCTATGTGAGCCCAGGAGGTGCTGGGCACATCCAGTTCCTGGAGGCTGAGCACCTCCAGTGTGTGCCAGGGCTGACACCCGCTTAGTGCCCGATCTTATTTCTATTCAAGGTCAAACAGAAAAGCCTGCTCTTGACTACAGTCGAGTTCGGTGAAAGCTGGGGGGGCAGATGGGGACAATCCATCTCACCCTTTCTGTGTGGCACATTTGGTATTTTCCTAGAGCAGCCGCAGAGTTACCAACAAAACTGGAGATTGTGTCTGTTGAACTTTCTGTTGATTGGAGTTTGTTTCTCTTGCAGGTTCAGGTCAAGTCTAAGGATTATTAGATCCAAGAAACAACCCCAAAGCATCTTTCTTAAAGGTCTTCAGATGTGAGAGCAAATGATTGTAGTGCCCTAGGGCACTGAGGAATCCATGAGTTGAAACTCTCATCTTATAGGTGGGAAATCTGGGCAACTGCTGTGAACGGACTAATCAAGAAATCATAGCAGTGTGCTAGACAAACCCAGGGAGGGGACTGACAATGAACGTCAGACACAGGGGTCTGTGTTCTCTCTGCAGTAGCATGATTCGGAGCGTGCCTAGAAGGTGGTCCCTTTAAGGGCCCTATTGACATCCCAGAGGTCCTCTTTACACATTAAGCCTACGCAGGCACCCTTATTCAGTGGCTCCCGGATAGGTTGTAGATGCATGTATCGTCTCTTGGGAGGTAACTTCTGGAGCTTTGAACACTGCTTGTCCCATTCTATTAAGAGCATTCCTTTATTTACTGCCCAGATTTTCCTAGACTAGAATAATCTGTGGGCGATTCGCAGTACTCATGTCTAAGATTGATGTTACTTCCCAGCTCGTTCTGGTGGACTCACTGCACCCACTAATGCTCCTCATCCTGCTCGTGGTCAGCGTGGTCTCCATGTGCACCTGCCGTGGCGGCTTTAACCAATCTTGCATCATCGCGACTAGAGACATAGCTAGGTTTGTCCCTTGGAGGATGTTAGCGGTCAGAAGAGCAATCCTTCCCCCACGGTGTGCAGGGAGACTTCACATCAGTCTGCTCCGCTCATGTCAAAGCCCAGGTCTCTCCCGCAGTTTTCCTTTATCCACACCTGAAGCAACTCTCAGGATGTCACACCTCCACCATCGGGTGAGCAGAAAGGAGACTCAATCATGAAAGCGATGTTTTGGTTGATTATGTAAAAGTAGCAATCCTTTTTTTTTTGTTCATATCGGGGCTTTTAATCTTAAGTTGTCTCATTAATGCTGACAAACATAAACGGTATAATTATCCTTTTTGATGCTTATTATGATTTCAAGACAGATCAAATACATTTAGTATTTTGCTTTCACAAAACATTGCTCTTAATCCCCCCCCCCCTTTGCCTTAGGCACAGAGAAACTGAAGATGTCTCTGGAAATTGGGAAACATGTGTTCCTTTCAAGGCTACCTCTGATTCTCTGGTGTCATTTGCGCATGAACACACTCTTAGGCCACCGTGTGCATCCATCATTATTCGATCAGGGAGAACATTTGCCTCTTAACTTGTTATGGAGAGGGTGTACACCTGGCACAGTAGTGGGGCACGCGTTCAGCCCACCTACACCTGCACAGTTATCTATTGTTCCCTCCAGAGTGTGCTTCAGTTTCTACCTGCAAGTGTTTGGGGGTCGAGGAATTAGTGAGAAGGTTTTTAAGCCTTGCGTAAGTGTTTTCATGAGGATGGAATTTAATAGGATGTCAAGGGAAAATGAGGATTTCAAGTGACTGCCAAAAAATGGACGGATCTTGTATTTTCTACTCTAGGAGGGCAGTGCTCAGTGCTAGTTTTTTTTTTTAAATATAATTTTTTTATTGAAAAAAAAGATTTCCGCCTCCTCCCCGCCTCCCATTTCCCTCCCCGTCTCCCTTTTCCCCCCTCCTCCCTCTCCTCTCCCCCTCCCCCCACTCCTCTCCCCCTCCCTCTCCAGTCTGAGGGGCAGTCAGGGTTCCTTGCCCTGTGGAAAGTCCAAAGTCCTCCCCGCTCCATCTTGGTCTAGGAAGGTGGACATCCAAACTGGCTAGGCTCCCACAAAGCCAGAACATGAAGTAGGATCAAAACCCAGTGGCATTGTCCTTGGCTTCTCAGCAGCCCTCATTGTCCGCCATATTCAGAGAGTCCGGTTTTATCCCATGGTTTTTCAGTCGTAGTCCAGCTGGCCTTGGTGAGCTCACAATAGATCAGCCCCACTGTCTCCGTGGGTGGGTGCACCCCTCGTGGTCCTGACTTCTTTGCTCATATTTTCCCTCCTTCTGCTCCTCCTTGGGACATTGGGAGCTCAGTCCAGTGCTCCAGTGTGGGTCTCTGTCTCTATCTCCATCCATCTCCAGATGAAGGTTCTATGGTGATATGCAAGATATTAATCAGTATGGCTATAGGATAGGGTCATTTCAGGTTCTCTGTCCTCTAGTTTTTTTTTTTATCTGTATCTATGTTGTAGTTTTGTTAATTCTTTGAAAATACAATGTCTTTTGATTCTGTTTATTCCTGACTCCCCTAGCCTCCCAGATCCACTCCATTTTCCTTCTCCTACCAACCATGTGTCCTTTTCCTTATTGTTTTTAAAGCCATCACTGACAGTTGATGCTGCCTGTATATTCTTGGATGTATGGCCTTCCACAGAGGGTTACCAACCTGCTAGGGGCTGTACCCTTAAAGAAAACTGGCTCTCCCTCCCCTGTAGCCATCCGTCGCCAGTAGTTTCTGAGCTAAGAGAGTGTGAGTCCACCTACTCCTCCATTCTGGGAGCTTGAGCTCATTGGGTCTTAGTTTATACTTTTCTTCTCACAAAATCTATTTCAGATTCCACTGTTGGGTATTTGGAGGCTTCACTGGTTTTATCCAGTTCGCATTGGGTTTTTGGAGAGTTGAGTCTGTGGCTTCAGTTTTCATATCTAGTGGTTTTTCTTTGCTAGTCAGTGCATTTGAGTTTGGGCTCCTGACATCATGATTCGTGGCAGAAGCAACAGCATTACAAAATGGTAAGGCGATGGCCAGCATCAGTGGGGGAAGTTTCCAGAAAATCCTCATTGTATAGCCTCAGAGAGTGAAGAAGTTTACTTATGGACAGGGTAGGCATTGGGCTCTTTGATACCATGGTTCCACAGCATCACTGCACACACCAGGCTCTGTCTGCTTTCAACCCCTCAAAGCACTCACTGCCTTTGAAGCCTATTCTCTATCTTGTTGAGTCAATTTCAAATAAATGCTGGACTATTTTTTTTTTGGAGGGACACAAAAGAAATCTCATCTTTGGTAGGTGAGGTCAGCTTAAGTGAGATGCCCAGTGGACCCACAAATTGCTGCCGGGTGAGTGCTGTGTGCTGTTGACCTGATTCTTTCTCTGGAGAAATTGGGTTTCCACAATTGGCAAAGCCATTGCTTTCCCAGTCCCACAGATTTGCCTAGGGAGCTCTCTGAAACAGTCAGATGGGCTTCACCTGAATGCTCTCTGACTCACCGGTTCCGGGGAAAGGAAGGAAAGGGCCAAGAATTTGCGATTCTAACAGTTTTCAGATAGTCAGATTATTGGTCCAACACCACATCTCCAGCACTGTTGCTTTGGAAGATGGAGAAGCTGCTGCTGCCATAGCCGATTTTAACTTCTGGGCAGGAATGAGACAGCAACTGTTGGCGTGAACCCCAGACACACAGAGCCTTCCCTGTGGTCACTGGGAGTAGTTTCCTCCTACCACATGCAGCTTTCTGGTGACGTTTACACCCTGATCTCCGGGTTCTGGATTCACATGGTGTTCCTGCTGTTAAGTTTTCACTGCTATTCTCTCTTCTTGACAGACCAGCCTTCCAGAATAGCTTTCTCTACTTTCACCTGGGCAGTCTTTTCGCTGAAAAATATCTCTCTTCCTTTGGATGTCCCAGCAATGAATTAGATTGACATTTAATCACGTGACATGAGTTTCCCCTAAGAATTTTAAATATATATGTATATATATACATATATATTCAATTTGTTCAAGGTAAAATGCATCTATTTATGAATCAAAGTATGATATTTCTGTAAGCATATATTATATTAGTTATCCTTACTTTGAAACATACAGTTAAATATAGTCAGCTGTAGATAAGAGTACTGTAGAAAACTAGAAGTTTTTCTTTGGGTTCACCTTCTTATTTAGCTTCTCTAGGATCACGAATTATAGGCTCAATGTCCGTTGTTTATGGCTAGAAACCAAATATGAGTGAGTACATCCCATGTTCCTCTTTTTGGGTCTGGCTTACCTCACTCAGGATAGTGTTTTCTATTTCCGTCCATTTGCATGCAAAATTCAAGAAGTCATTGTTTTTTTACTTCTGAGTAGTACTCTAATATGTATATATTCCATACTTTCTTCATCCATTCTTCCATTGAAGGGCATCTAGGTTGTTTCCAGGTTCTGGCTATTACAAACAATGCTGCTATGAACATAGTTGAGCATATACTTTTGTTGTATGATAGGGCATCTCTTGGGTATGAAAAACATATAGGCATTCTCCTGAATATTAACCTTCATCAGGCGATGAAAGGAGACAGAGACAGAGACCCACATTGGAGCACCGGACTGAAATCTCAAGGTCCAAATCAGGAGCAGAAGGAGAGAGAGCACGAGCAAGGAACTCAGGACCGCGAGGGGTGCACCCACACACTGAGACAATGGGGATGTTCTATCGGGAACTCACTAAGGCCAGCTAGCCTGGGTCTGAAAAAGCCTAGAATAAAACCGGACTCGCTGAACATAGCAGACAATGAGGACTACTGAGAACTCGAGAACAATGGCACTGGGTTTTGATCCTACTGCAAGTACTGGCTTTGTGGGAGCCTAGGCAGTTTGGATGCTCACCTTACTAGACCTGGATGGAGGTGGGTGGTCTTTGGATTTCCCACAGGTCAGGGAACCCTGATTGCTCTTTGGGCTGATGAGGGAGGGGAACTTGATTGGGGGAGGGGGAGGGAAATGGGAGGCGGTAGCGGGGAGGAGGCAGAAATCTTTAATAAATAAATAAATAAATAAAAAGAAAGAAAACTAGATGTTATTCTTCCTGTCCCACTGTGTTTTGCTGCACCCAGAGCCCAATCTTCCTGGGCTCTGGCAGCCACTGTTCTATTGCCTACTTCCTTGAGATCAAATGATTAGCTTTCACATGTAAGTGAGGACATGAAGTAATTGTCTCTTTATTTTGCCAGGCTTAGAACTGAGCCCAGGACCCCATACATGCTAGACAAGTGCTCTTGCCCTGAGCTGCATGCCTCAGTTTAGGCATTTGTCCTTCTGGGTCTGACTTATTTCAGTTAATGTGGTGTTTTTCTAGTTAATCTATGTGGCTATGCATAATAACATTTCCTTCATTGCTATGGCTGAATGATAGTTCATGTATATGTATATATATATGTATATATATATATATACACACACACACACACACACCTATCCATTTACCCATTTATCAGGTATAAGCATCTCAGTATATTCTGTATATGCAACTATTAAGCACAGTGATGCATACATATCAAGTATAACTTTTCTTTGATATACTAATTTCACCTTCTTTGCATGTATACCCAGTAGTAGGCACACTAGAACAATTGACAGGTCTGTTTCTAGATTTTTCAGTGACTGGCCTATTATTTTTCATAATGCTTGTACTTACATTACTACCTAAAATGTATGAGAGTTATCCTTCTCTACACTCTGACTAACATTTATTACTCTTTTCCTTTTTGTCTTTAAGAAAATTACACCTTATTTATTTTATTGGTGTGTTATGTGTCTGCATGTGTGTGCATGAGCACGTGTGTGTGTGCACATGCCATGGTCAGCAAGTGAGGTCAGAGGACACCATGCAGGTGTCAGTTCTCTCCTTCTACTGTGTAACTCCCAGTAATTGAGCTCAGGTGTCAGGCTTGGCAGCAGGGACCTCTATCCGCTGAGCCATCCATCTTTTTGACTCTCTTTGCTTTTTCAGATAATGGTCATCCTGTAGTGAACTGATCTCTTATTAGAATTTTGGAATGATTTTCTCTTGACAATTAGTGACACTAAATAGTTTTTGTATACTTTAAAAAAAATTCATAGCTACTTTTGTTTTCTGTGGTGCTGAAAATCAAATGGAGGTCTCCATTATTGCTGGAAAGTCACTGTGAACTGTACCCCCAGATTTCTCTGTCTTCTCTGAAGAAGTATCTATTTAGGTCATTTGTCCAGTTTATCTGGATTATATGTGATACTTGTGTGTGGGGGTATGTTGATATGTTGAGTTAC